TGGTCCTGACTATGCAGTACCATTAGGAAGAAGAGACGGGTTGACATTTGCGACAAGAGCAGTAACTATAGCCAACCTTCCTTCATCAGCAAGCAACGCTAGCACTATCGTCGCCTTTCTTGCAACGAAAAACCTAGATGCCACCGACGCGGTTGCCCTTTCAGGCGGCCACACCATTGGCCTCAGCAATTGCTCCTCCTTTAACAACCGCCTCTATCCCACCCAAGACCCTGTCATGGACCAGACTTTTGCCAAAAACCTAAAGGCGATTTGCCCTACGAACAACACGGTTGCCACTACTGTGCTCGATATTCGAAGCCCTAATGCCTTTGACAACAAGTACTATGTCAACCTCATGAACCGCCAAGGACTCTTCACATCTGATCAGGATTTGTACAGCTACAGTAAGACCAAGGACATTGTCATCAACTTCGCCGTTAACCAATCACTCTTCTTTGAAAAATTCATCATCGCCATGACCAAAATGGGCCAGTTAAGTGTCTTGACTGGCAGCCAAGGTGAGATACGTGCCAATTGCTCTGCTAGGAATCCAAGTAAGGATAACTTGGCGTCTCTATATGAGGATGTGGACAATTTGTCGGCGTTCTAAGGGCTTTAGGTTTTGGCTTTGTTTCAAATATGTTCCTTTTGTTAAAAGCCAAAAAAGAAAAAAAAAACGTTCCTTTTGTGTTTGTGAGAGCAAACCTTCTTTTCAATATCTACATCTATACGGGTGTATGATCTAATTATGTCTCATGTCTCTAACGTGTATGCTTTAACTTTGTGTTTGTATTGTTAATCAGATGACACTCTTTGTTTGATTATTATATAAAGTATGTATTTTTCCTTTATATAAAGTATGTATTTTTCCTTTATTGGAATAATAATAGAAAGTTTATGTTTATGAATTTGCGATTGCAACTCTGTTTTCATCTTTTTTTTTTTTATTGAACACAAAATTGTTCTGGTTAAACAGAAAGATGCAATATTCATGGTATACATGGTGTCAAGTAAATATCTAAATGAATTGATAAAAAAGGATTGAGTAAAACAAGTTCACGTACTTAACTTGCTCGCATTATTTTGGGGCTAGTAGAGTGGAAAGATCCATTCATTTGCTTATAGTTGAAGTGTGAGTCCAACGATGTGTTTTGCTTTTCATGTAAATAATCTTGACAAATACCTCTTAAAAGTGCATAGGTCAAAATTTTTACCTTTTACTCTTGATTCATAACTTTTTTAATTAAATAATTACACTAACAAAATGGTATTTATCAAAAGTAAGGGGTAAAGGATCAGTCTCATGTACTCTTAAAAGTAAATTTTTCATTTTTTCTTTTCATTTTAATTTGCATAAACACATGGTGACATTTGAATTCGTGGCTTGTTTTGCTTATCTTTTAGCTTTTTTTTTCATTTTTTTCTTTTTTAATATGTGAGGGTAATAAATATTTTGAGTATGTTTCGTTGGAGTGAGATGGAGAGGAAAAAAGACCTAATTAATTATTTTGTTGGACAGATGAAAGGAAGAAGAGGAAAAGTAGGGATGTATTCTCCCTCTTATTACATCAAATTGTATCATTCCATTAAATGGATTTTAGCAATCCATCAATTTTAATCTTTAGAAGACTATTTGACCTTTAGAAAAATTATTGATAAATTGTACAAATGTACATTATAGTAATTAATAATTAACTATTATTAAACTATCCCTCCCTCTTATCAAATAACATAAAGGATTTTCATAATCACTAAATTAGGAGCATTGTGTATTTTATACTTGGAACAATTTTTGCTTTGTAGATGATTTGCAAACATTGATTTTTTTAAGGATTTTAGTTCTTGATATTGAAATTGTTAAATAACTTCTAAAATTTTTCAGAAACAAACACATCCTAACGGGAACAAAAACAAATAGGGCATTTAGGTGTAAATTCACATTTACATGCAATTGAATTTCTAAAATTGCCCTTAAATAAAACATTAGAATTCATAAAAAAAACACTTTTTCTTAAAACATTTTCACACTTAAGCAAGTTCACACTTTTACATAAGCTGTTTTCTGAAAATGCAATTTTGTAACAGTCTTTCGCAATAGTTAAACAGGTTTAGAGGTTAATTTTAAAATTAAAAATGTAAGAGGTAAGTTGCTAAATCATGATAAATTTAAAAGGTAAATGTGCTAAAAATCATACAGGTAGGAGAAGTAAGATCGTGGAGAGTAATAGCGGATTACTTGTGTCGTTTCTTCTCTTCAAAGTTCAAATCACCTCAACACAAATACCAATGAGAAGCCATCAGCCCAAAAAAAAAACCGTGAGAAGCCTATTTCCCCTGAAAAAAGGCCTATCATTTATTTTTTTTTAAAAACACTGATTAGATTTTTGTCGATTTCAGCTCAGAACAACCCTACATCTTTAATACAACCGGCTTCCCTTTTGAGGACGCAAAATATTCGTTTCTCTGTAATTTCATATCAACTTTAATCAATTTTATTTCTGACTACTCATTTTTTATGTTCTTATAGCGCATTACTCTTTTTAGGGATTGGAAGATTTTATTTTTTTTAGTTTTTTAAGGTATGAAGTTATGTTTTTCTGTTGTTCTTTAGACTATATGTTCCGCCCCAGCAAAAAAACATATCTTTAAAATAAGGGTTAATCCCACAAATGGTTTGTGAAGTTTACACTCGATCTCACTTTATTTTTAGACATTTTAAATGTCTCACAGTTAGTCCATGAGGTTTTATTTTATTTTAGTTTCGGTTATTCTTTTAACTTGGTGTAAATATTTGACGAAATATGCGAAAATTATGGACTAAAATTGGAAACATATAATTTACGAACTAAAAAAATACAAAAGAAAAAAAAAAAACAAAAGATGATTTCCACAAATAGTACTAAAATTAGTGGTTTCTAGTTTTGGTCTCTAATTTACACATATTTCAATAAATTTTAACGCCTAGTTAATGGTAACACTAAAACTGAAACAAAACAAAACCTCAGAAACTATCTGTGGGACATTTAAAAAGTTAGAGACTAAAGTTGGATTGAGTCTAAACCTCATAGGCCATTTGTGAAATTAACCTTAAAATAATGTTCCTTTGCTGTTTTTAACTATGAGAAAAGCTCTATGATTGTTTCTTTCCCACATATAGATACCATTCTGTTTTTGAGGGGTTAATTTTCAGCCTTTCACTAGCAGGACCTTGCATCATGGAGTTCAGGAGATACATTGATGGTGATTGGCGGCATACTAAAGCTACACTTAGTACTGATATGACAACAGAAAATCCTGTAAACAACTCAAATTTCCTTAGAAAGGCAATCCATCTTCCTCCACGATCTATGCTATTGTTATCTGGAGAGGCACGCCACGCATGGAATCACCACATACCACACCATAAGATTGATATGGTGAACGACACTGTGATCAGAAGAGGATCAAGGAGAGTGTCTTTCACGTTTCGTAAGGTCTGGTTTTTAAGTTCTTTGCTGCTTGTTTTCCTGTTGATCTAGCGTTACTTTTATAACATTTGTCAACAAATATGTGATATGATAGATGATTAAAAGAAAAAATTGAGTTTGAGTTTAAGAACTTGAGTTGTAGGAGAAACTTAAGAGTCCGTTTAGTTCGCTGATTCGAGTTTTTAATTCGAGTTTAGATGTGACTTTATGTGAGAGCTTTTTACTGTAGCAAAAAAGTTAGATGTGATTGTTTGTGAGAGCTTTTTACTGTAGAAAAACTTGAATTCTAAACTCGAATCAGCGAAATGAACGGGGCCTTAAGAACTTGAGTTGTAGGAGAAACTTAGCTCATATTTTAGCCTTAAACTCAAGTTAAAACTCGAGTTAAACTCAAATTTTACAAACGAACATGAACTTAAAAAAAGTTATAACTTGAGTTTAAACTTTTTTTGAGTTTTAGTCTAAAAGAACAAGCTCTTACATTTTTATACCTTATGTTTTAGGTATGTTTAGAAAATATACATTTCGTTTTTAATCTCAGTAACTATATACATTCAGATTAGATTTAATACATAAAATGAAAAATCACCTCAATCAAAATTAAAATGAAAAAGTTATGATATTTTTAAGAATAAAAAAATAATGTTCATTAACTTGAGTTTGAGTTTAAAAACTTGAGTTGAAGGAGAAACTTATACTCAGATTTTAACCTAAAACTCAAGCTAAAACTCAAGTTAAACTTGAGTTTTAGTTAAACTCGAGTTAACTTGTTCTCTTTGTTGTGAACGTATAGAAAAAAAAATCATCTCAATCGGAATTAAAATGAAAAAGTTATGATGTTTTTAAGAATAACAAAAATAATGTTTATCAACTTGAGTTTGAGTTTCAGAACTTGAGTTGAAGGAGAAACTTAAACTCAGATTTTAGCCTCAGACTCAAGTTCAAACTCAAATTTTACAAACGAACATGAACTTAAAAAAAAAATTATAACTTGAGTTCAATTTTTTTTTTTGAGTTTTATTATAAAAGAACAAGCTCTTACATTTTTATACCTTATGTTTTAGGTATGTTTAGAAAATATACATTAAGCTCTTACACTTCGCGGATTCGAGTTTTCAATTTTAACTGAGATGTGACATTTTATGAGAATTTTTCACTGTAGCAAAAAAAAATTAGATGTAATATTTTCTGAGAACTTTTTACTGTAGAAAACTAGAACTGAAAACTCAAATCGGTGAAATGAACGATGCCTTAATTTTTAATCTCAGTAACTATATACATTCAGATTAGATTTAATACATAAATCCATACATTTTCTACATAAATTTAATCCATCATAATATTTCTTAAAAAAAAAAATCCATCATTAAACCTAATCCATCACAAAATTTCATTAAATTTCTTTTAAAAAAATTCTTTAAAAAAAACTTAAACCTAATCCATCATTAAATTTATTTTTTTAAAAACCATTATTAAACCAAATCCACCATTAAATTCCTTTACAGAAATCCATCGTTAAACTAATCATTTTAAAATTAATAAAAAATTTGTATCTCTCGTCCTCGAGACGGTGAGGTCCTGGGTTTCGTGACGTAGGCCGACGCGACGAGGTCCTGGGTTTCGCGACGGAGGCCGACGCGACGAGGTCCTGGGTTTCGCCAAGGCGGCTGGGCTGCGTGACGAGGCTGGGCTGGTCGTGGGACGTTGATGGCCGGTGGGTTGGCCATTTGATGCTGGCGACGAAGGCCGGCGAGGTCTGGGTTTCACGCGGCGGAGGCCGACGGGGTTCATCTGCTTAGATCGTATTCATTCCCTGTTCATGCATTTCCATGCCTCTTTCTTTGTTGTCTTTTTATTTCTTTTTTTCTCCCGATCGCTTTCTAAGAAAAAAAGGCATCCTTTTGGGTTTAGTTTTGTTAATTGCATGATCGAATTTTGTTGGGTTTGTAGACAATGGTTTTTGACGCTTGAAGTCATTCATTTTCGTTTAGGGGATTGGAAGATTTTATTTTTATTTTTTATTTTTTATTTTTTATTTTTATTTTTTGGGTTTTCGTATGTGTTGCGTTATAGTTGAAAAATTATAAACTTCTGGTGATAGAAACTATTGGCAGAAAGAATTGTATATCTGGTGTCATTCATACACAATCGATGTAATCCTTGCAATTTAATCTAAATAAATCTAAAGTTTTCGAGGATGTCATTTGATGTATTTTTATATGCTTTTTTCATTCAACTTTTGTGTTTCAAGATTATGTAATGACCTGAATTCGTTGTTTAAAAAGTATTTCTGTGATTTTTGTCAAAGGAATTTAGTGTCATTTACTTTAGTAACATCAAGTCCAATAATTGAAGTTTGAGAGTTTGGAACGTTAATATTGAAATAGTACATTAGGACTGATGGCGGGTTCACCAACACCACCTCCACCACCAGCGAGATTCAGGCCGGCAAAGGGCGAGGTTAGCAGGAATCTGTATGTTGCCAACTGTGGGCCGGCAGTAGGAGTTTCGTTTGCAGACATCAAAGAGGTGTTTGGTGCATTTGGAGATGTCGAGGGTGTCTATACAGCCGACGACTCTGGCGTCCGTGTTGTTGTTTGCTTTTCCCATCACTCCTCCGCTCAAGCCGCTTTCCAAGCACTCAACGCTCGCCCTTGTCCCAACCTCCATGGCCGCACTTTGCACATTCGTTATTCCCTTGTTCAACCTCCTCTCCAGGTGGTACTCAGAGTCACCCCTTGTAAAAATATTAATCACATTTTCATCCTTGTTTATGTTATTAAAGAAAGAATGTCCCTGTGCTTCTAGAGAGAGCCGAATAATGTTGTTCCGGTGTCTTTGAACGCTTTGGAGTTGAACATTCCTGGGCTTTACTTGGTGCATGATTTTGTCAGCCTTCAAGAAGAGCAGGTCCATAGGTCTCTTTGTCATTTCTCTTCTGCCAAAATTTCATTCACACGCATAATGTATGTATGTAGATGTCATTCTTACTTTTGGACTTGTTAGGAGTTGCTTGCAGCGGTTGATGAAAGACCTTGGAAACATCTCGCGAAAAGAAGGGTCCAACATTATGGTTATGAATTTTGCTATCAGGTGAGGAAATATTAGTCTCTATCCAATCTTAAAACTAACCTCTTTATCAATTTTACTATTCTGTTCTTAGAAAAGTATTAATAGTAAATAACAAGTTAATGTATGTTTGGAAACACAATATCAGTCACTGAGCCAAAAAGAAAGTTTTGGGAGTACGGAGTACCCATATTTCTCGTATAAAATGTTCCAGCAAGGAGGAAACTGGGACAATGAGATTTCTGACCGCTGTTTAATTATGTCTAAAATGCGGAAAGAAACAATTTTTGCCTCTTCTATTTCTCCTAATCTAAAATGGTGTCTTGTTCTTTGCATTTAATTATTATTTCTCAGCCTCTGCTTTACCTTACATGAATTCTCCATTTTGAAATTTTCAAGCATTTTGGTATCTTCTTCCTCTTTTGAATTGTTCAATCTGTTTGTAACAGACAAGGAATGTCGATTCAAAACAGCAGTTAGGTGAACTTCCCTCATTTGTTTCTCCTGTACTGGAGAAAATGTCCATGTTCAAAAAGCTTTATAAAATAACTGCAGATGTAGCGTTGGACCAATTGACGGTATGAAGTTATGTTTTTCTTTTGTTTTTTTAGATTATATGTTCCGCCCCAGCAAAAAACCTATCTTTAAAATAAGGGTTAATCTCACGAATGATCCTTGAGGTTTACAGTCGATCCCATTTTATTTCCTGACATTTCAAATGTCTCATTGTTAGTCCTTGAGGTTTTATTTTGTTTCAGTATCGGTCATTCTGTTAACTTGGTGTAAATATTTGACGGAATATGCGAAAATTAGGGACTAAAATTAAAAACATATAAAGTTTTGGGACTAAAACAATACAAAAGAAAAAAAAAAAAACAAAAGATGGTTTCAAATTAGTTGTTTCTAGTTTTGGTCCCTAATTTCAACACATTCCAACAAATTTTAACACCTAGTTATTGGAAGAACCGCAACTGAAACAAAATAAAATCGCAGGAACCATCTGTGAGACATTTAAAAGTTAGAGAACAAAGTTGGATTGAGTGTAAACCTCATATGTCATTTGTGAAATTAACCTTAAAATAATGTTCCTTTGCTGTTTTTAACTATGAAGGAGAGAAAAGCTGTATGTGTTAGTGTTGAATTACTGCTAGGTTATGCTTTAAGAAGCGGTGATTGTTTCTATCTTACAGGTTAACGAGTATCCACCTGGTGTGGGTTTGTCCCCACATATAGATACCCATTCTGCTTTTGAGGGGTTAATTTTCAGCCTTTCACTAGCAGGACCTTGCATCATGGAGTTCAGGAGATACATTGATGGTGATTGGCGGCATACTAAAGCTACACTTAGTACTGATACGACAACAGAAAATCCTGTAAACAACTCCAATTTCCTTAGAAAGGCGATCCATCTTCCTCCGCGATCTATACTATTGTTATCTGGAGAGGCACGCAACGCATGGAATCACTACATACCACACCATAAGATTGATATGGTGAACGACACTGTGATCAGAAGAGGATCAAGGAGAGTGTCTTTCACGTTTCGTAAGGTCTGGTTTTTAAGTTCTTCGCTGCTTGTTTTCCTGTTGATCTAGCGTTACTCTTATATCATTTGTCAACAAATATGTGATATGATAGATGATTTTGAAGGAAAAACTTGTACTCTGAAAAATGTTGCTCTACTATCCCTCTTTGCTGATTATCTGTAGTAAATTCATGCCTGACCTTTATTATTTCTCTACGCAGTCAATTATGTAGCTGCTGTAGTTATCTTCTATTTGACAAGGTCGGTACTTTTAAAAATCAAACTATCTTTATGTTTTTCAGGTTCGAACAACACCTTGCAAATGTAGCTTTCCCGAGTATTGTGATTCTCAGAGGCAGAAAAAGGGGTGAGTTTTCGTACTTCTGAAGATTACCCTATAATTTTTTGTTTGAAGGTCCTAGACAGATTTTTCTTATTTTTCTTGTTTTCCGTTATATGTTGTTGCGATATATATGGTAATTTGAATAGGCTATCCATATATGTAAAAGTACAATCTAGCATTTATTATAATATACTCACAATGGGGGTATTTAGCTAAAGGTGCGGAGCCAGCGAAGTGTGCATTTGTTGCTAGTTCTTCTACTGGTCTCGAAATAAACTGCCGATTCGCACCTTGACGTTCTCCCCTCATCATCGCTCGGGATCAGACTTTTTTTAGTACGGCTTTTAACTGTGGGTTTCTAATACTAAGCCTCCCACATTAGTTGATGCCGTCAAGTGAACGAACAAAAAATGATTCACTAGGGTTTATAATTTCTGAATCAATTCCTATTGGGTAGATTAGAAAAAGGCACCAAAAGAATTTGAAAACTTGACTGCTAAGCCGTGTGAGATCGGAAACTCGCAAGTATGGTTTTAAAGGGAGGAATTTATCACACCGGTTGTTGTCCGATTGAAATTGAAATCTGAATATAATTCAAAAAAAAAAAAAAAGCACGAAACCATACAATGCAACGCAGCCATGCAGACATAACAAATAAAAATACAATGCAACGCAGCCATGCAAACATACATGCATGCTTGCCGATCTATCTATATATATATATATATACATATATATATATATATAGTAACAGATAGACATACGGCGGCTTGATTTGTTTATTCAATTAGTGCAAAAGTAAAATATTGCAAATTAAAATTAAATCACGCATTGCAGCATTGAACGGCTACTAGTGATTATGTTGCCTTTGGATTTGAGAGCCTCGTGATTCATGTAGGGTGATCTGAATGTAGTATAAGCGATGAACGCTAGTGACGGGACCACCCGGGACCAAGGCAATCGGCAACAGTTTCTTGCTTGACGACTCCACCAAAGGCTGTGGCTTGGTGGCATCGCATTTGTCCAATGCCTTGGCTTGCTTGAGGTATGCGTCCATATGTTTGTTACAGCGAAACGCTTGCGAGCGTTAGAACTAGTCTCCAAATTAGATAGCACAAAAGGATCACGCCCAACTTGTTTTCTGTTGATCATGTCAAATCTTAAACTACTCCCAGCCGATTGGAGATCAGCGAAACGCTTGAAGAGCAGTTGCATCGCAAATTTCACTATCTCAATTGGCAACGGGTTAGCCAAGTTTTTGGTTTCAACCATCTTGTAGGTGGCTTCCTTGCCGTCGTTCACCATATTTGCGCTCTTGACACGGTTCTCCTCACTAGTCAACTCCTCCCTCTCTTTTTCTTTCCTTGGGGGGGTGTCGATGCGGGTTACGGTAGCTTTTATTGGATTTGCTTCATACAGCCGTTTCTCCTCCACATCACTGCATTCGCATCCATTATATACATATATACCAGATCATAATATATAATATATAATAAAAATAAAAATAATAAGAATGTAAATGCTTGCTGGGACTAATTTATTTGGTACCACCCACTCACCTGTATGTGTAACTTACTCTGATAACATCCGGGCTCGTCTGACTATCAACTTTTGGAAGAATAAGATCCACAATGACCTTGCGTACCTCTTTTTTGTAGAGATTGCCTAAAGATATAGTTACAGAAGAGTCCTTGTTACCGGATTGTGGATAGTCTCCCGCATATACATTCTCGATTTTCGAATCTCCATCGAATTGTTTGACGGTCAGCTTTACGTCCTGAACAACCACGCCGAGAAGACCAGCCAAACATTGGGAAAATGCGGCGCTCAAGTTGCTATGGTTTAGAACATCTGAGAATGTGCCTCCATTGCTTTTCTTTGCAATCTCTTGTACCACCTATATTACATTTCGATTGAATGATTTAGGACGTACTCATGAATTAATTGGTAAAGTTATTCATACAGCTTTTGCTTTAACAAGTATTACTTAAGGGACATACGCTTGGTTCACATTCCGCGCTAAAATTGAATGTGTGTACAGGCACGTTTCCAACGTCAACCTCGGCAGCCTTACCCCTGTTTTCGGCACCGCCAGACATAAGCAAGATGGCACCGACACGGCCATCTTTAACACGGCGGTCATTCAGTACTCTTAACGCCGTTTTCAGCCCATCGGCGATGTTTGTGTTACCGTTGGCAACTAAATCTTTAACCTGCTTTTCAATATCTTGTTGGGAGCCTTCAGTTATCTGGCGCAACGGGAACAACCTCTTGGAGTTGTCAGCGAATGTGACAACCGACAAACGATCAATGGGGCTAAGTTTCTTGATGAGAAATTGCAATGCATTTTTCAATTTTTCTGACTTGCCTTCCTTGTCCATGCTTCCACTCACATCTATGGCAGCCACAATATCCACTCCTGGTCTGTCTCTGTCTTCGTTCTTTCCTGACTCTGTCAGCTCCAACAACACCCTCAATTCGGTTGCTTCAAGTGGTGCCTCCTTCTTGTTGAACATTCTCATCTGCGTCTTTCCCGCCTTGACTGCTGCAGGTTTCCTCTCTGAAATATGTATAATATGCAAACATTATTCAACAAAATATTGATTCAAGTATATATAAGCTTAACACCTACAATCAACACACACACACACATACTCCAGAAAGAAAAAAAAAAAAAAAAACAAAAAAAAAAACAAACAAACACACGCGCACACTTACACTAGTTAGAATGCGCGCTGTGCGCTTGAAATCCTTAAAAACAATGACTAATCTCAAATTTTGATAGCCGAAAAATAGAGTTTGACTCACTTCGTCGCTAATAATTCAAAATTAGCACAAAAACAGTTCTCGAGCTTATCAGAAGTTGAAACTTTGATATTGCTCTCAACAAAACATAAAAACTTTTTAACAGTTTTAAACTACGTGTGTTCACATTACTAGTAATCGGGAAAAAATATATAAATAGGGATATTGAGATAATAGCTTAAAATGTATAGAAAAATAATTTATATATAAATAGGGATATTTTTTAAGAAAAAATGTATTGACAGGGACAAATTAAAAAAGCTATTTCAATAAGCCATCGGAAAAAAGAAAGAAAAAAATTAATCTATCAAAACACATATCGTTTTGGTCGAAACTATCCAACAGTAAAAAAATCGTCATTCCTATTTAAGTAAGGATATTTTTTAGATAAATTATTTTAATAGATATAAATGGAAAGAAAAAACACAAAATGAAAAAAAAAAAAAAAGAAATAAGCAAAATACAAATTAGGTGATAGAAACAAACTAGAATAAACAAGTACTTTGGTGAACATGTCTCAAAATAAAAGGTACAAAATTTTAGGTGGAAATAAAACAAAAGGAAGGGGAAAAAATGTTAAATATAGAAAAACCGAATAGAAAAGAAACTAAAATGAAAGTCGAAGGCAACGTTTGATAAAATAGCATTTAATAGAATATTTAAGTAATCACACATATGAAAAACCAATTATTATGTAATAAGGATAAATTAAAACGAAAAAAGTATTTTGACAATATATCTTTCAGAATGAAGATATAAGATTATACCATTAAAAAAGAATTTATAAAGAAAAAAGGCAAGGAGAAGTAATAGAAAAGCAGGAAGATAAAAAAAAAAAAAAAAAAAAATGGAACCAAACGGCGAAATACCTACTTCGAACGAAATTCTACCTAAAAATCTATTCTCGAAAAAAAAAAAATTTATTGAGGAAAAGGGAAGAAGGGGAAAAAAAAAAAGAATGAGAAGAAGACAAAATTAGCTGAAAAAGGGGAACAAATGAGGAAAACGTTTCGTTGATTACCCGTGCCAAACTCATTTACATGTAGTAAATGTAGTATAGAAATAGAAATATTGATTTGATATAGATACATATTTAGGTAAGAACACTTGGAATCGGGTTTTTGAGTGCTTAAATTGAATATGAAGTCGCAAAGTGCTAGTCATATCAATGGAAAACACGATATGTAAACCTGCAGAGACAACTTCGTGTGCAAGAATCGGCTCATCGTCGTTGAAGGTCATTTTGGTTGAGTTGATATTGAAGGGCATTTTGCTTGAGTTGATATTGAAGGGTACTTCAAATCCCAGCTCCAACGACATCTTGATTTTGATTTCTCCAACTGTTGCGTCAGGCTTGTTGATGCATGTCAACTCTGTTATATATATATATATATATATATATATATATATATGTATATGTATATGTATATGTATATAAACATAAAACACACCGCAATTAGAATCAAATTATTGAGTGCTTAAGATGAATGAAAACTTAAAACGCATGCTCGTTATATCAATCGAGAAACGACGTAAATATAAACCTGCAGAAACATCTTCGGGATTAAAAATGTGCTTATCATCATTGAAGCCCATTTTGCCAAGAAAAATGATGCACTTAATCGAATTTGCTCAACTTTCCTGCTCGCAATGCAACACTTAACCTACTATATGTAGGGAAGCAATAAATAAATTTGTTAGAAATGTATCTTTCCGTCATTTTCTTTCTTACTCGCTACGTAGATTTTATTAATATAATATATCACTATTTAATTATTAAAAAAATAATATATTATTTAAATATAAAATGTGATGGTTGAATTTATGTAAAATAATAACTACAGAAAATGACATAAAGAATTATACTCATATTTTTTTTCCTTGCATGTACTGTAACACGGGCGCTTACGAGACAAGCGGGAGAAAACCTCAAAGATCTAACGTCATTAGTAATTTGGACTAAGGTTGCTATCGTGATTTCTTTCTATGAGAATTGAGAATAACTTTTTTAGTCAAGTAGAAATGTTTTTTAAGTCATTCTAAAACATATATATATATATATATATATTTTTTTTTTTTTTTTTTGAAGGTTGACAAGTTCCATTCTCCTAGTCATAATCACGCTGAATATATAATATTCGTAATATTCTTATAAACAAAGAAGATGTAGTAGAATGATTAATATATATGGATAATGAGTACGGATTAATTGACAGAATTGATGACTAAAAAACCATTGAGATTTATTTTTCATTTATAAATATTTATTTTCGTTGGTATGTTCATCTTTTCTCATCGTCCAGGTACACATCGATAACAAATTATATAGAAATTAAATGAAAAAAATTCCGTTTGACGTGATGATTGAGAAGCGATAAACATGGGGACAAAATTAACTCCTACAGTCTTTTTTTTAATATTAATAGTAATTATTACAAAGGGTAAGTACTTATCGGTAAAAATTCCACTATTCACACAAAATGAGTTTAAATTAAGTAAATAAATACGATCCAACATAATAAGACTTATTATTTTATTAGTGATGGTTTCCATTTGAAAATTTTGTGAATGAAAATAAGTTTTTTTTTTTTTTTTGTAGTATTGTTTGGTATACCAAACTCGCTTGTCGTTTCTTAGGCAACATAATCTTTTATTTAGTGACCCATGTGAAGAAAGCCAAAGGTTGTTTCAAACGTAACAACACGGTTGCTCTCCAAAGCCAATGTGATTTCATTTTCCAAGTAAGTTGAGATATTTTTAAGGAAAAAAAATAACTCAATTTGAGATAATTAATAATGTAGTCATGCGTTTATTTTATAAATTTAAATTATTGTTCAAACCATTTTATTTTAAAATGTGACAACTCTAAAGCGAGAGATAATTGATGATTTCATTTTTTTAATCGACTCAAGTTGAGATATTTTTAAGGGGAAAAGAAAAACCCAACTTGAAATAATGAATGTAAGTTGATGCGATCTGCGCAATAGAAAATGAGTAGTTTACCTTGGAATGCGTGTCCATATTCAATACCTTCAAGATTCTTTTTCCATTACAATTTTTTTTTGTAAACCTAAACTAATAAGAATTGTGCAAAATTAATGCCTAAACTAATAAGAATTGTGCAAATTTTTTTTTTTTTTTTTTGAAAATTTGTACCTTTGTTATTGTCTGATGTAAGCTAACCCAATTTGGTTAAAAAAAAAAACCAAATCAATAGCATTAATTTCTTTTAAATATGTAGTTGGGAAATACTTGTGTGAAACTTTTATTAGCATTAATTTCTTATAGTACAATAGATAAACTCTACATAGGGACAAAATTAACTCCCTCAGTCTTTTTTTAATATTAATGTTAATTATTGCAAAGGGTAGGGTACACTATAGGTGGAGGTTAATATTACTATATTGCTCTATCTAATCCTTATGATTTGACTTGTCAATAATTAATTAATTCGTTTTAATATGATCTTGAATATCTCCTTTGGGTGAGTCACATTTATTATGAAATTTGTAAACAAAGAACAAGCTACCAAACTTGCCCGTCATTTCTTAGGCAACATGTTTTTATCTCCAATAACACGTTGTAATCAACCAAGGATATGGGATCCCTACAAAAATGTTTTATTTGATTGTTTTGTTGTAGCTCTCCAAAGCCAGAGATAATTAATGTTTTTTTTTCCTTTTAAATTAAGACAAGTTGAGATATTTTTAAGGGGGAAAAAGACCTCGAATTGAGATAATGAATAACGTTGTACATAGATTGATGCGATCTACAAAATAAAAACGAGTTGTTTACCTTAGGATTTGTCCATTTTCAATGCCTTCGAGATTCTTTTTTCATTGTGGATTTTGTTTTTCTCCTAATCGAATAATGATGCAAACAAACAAATTTTCTTAATTTATCTTTCAAATCAACATTTCAATCTTCTAAAGTCAATAGATATTATATATTGCATATTATAATTTTACATATTATAATTCAGGAAAAAACCCGGTTTTGCTTTTATGACTGAGAAGACTTTTAGGAATAAGTTTATGAAGATTTTTTTTTTAAAGGTCGATTAAGAAGAAGATTTTCGAAGAATAAGTTTATGAATAGTCCTTTGTTATTGACAAATGTAAGCTAACCCAATTTGGTTTTTTTTTTTTTTTTTTTTAAATAAAGAAGAGAGAGATAGATGAGGCGCTTAAATGCCAATGAAATAAATCAAAGTCAATTCCACATAAAGATTAGATCAGCCAAACTAATAGCATTAATTTCTTTTAAACATGCAGTTGAGAAATACCTGTGAGAAGTTTTTATTAGCATTAATTTCTTATAGTACAATAGATAAACTCTATATAGGGACAAAATTAACTCCCTCGGTCTTTTTTTAATATTAATATTAATATTAATTATTGCAAGGGTAGGTACACTAGGTGGAGGTTTATATTCTTATAGATTTTTTTTTTTTTTTTTTAAAAGTTGACTCTTTTGACATAGTTGGTCTTAAACTATAGATTTAACGAAACAGACTCGAAACTTTTTTTTTTTTTTGGATAAACCTAAAAAAATATGGCATAAAAAGATAACTATCCTATTTTCAAAAGAATTATTTGTTATGATTTTAAATAAAAATGAAAATATAAGATTATAAGCTAACTTCACACAGTAGAGTATAGATAAATGAATAAAGTGAGTAAATTAAGACTCAAATTATTTGTGTTGATTGTAAGAATTTGGATCTGGATCTAACTCTGTAAGTTAATACGAAAATTTAGATAAACACAAAAACGACATAAAATGCTACTCATGGCCCCACATGCAATAGAAACAGCGAAGATTAATTCCAATACAACATCGTTAATAAATGATGCCATCGTTAATTAATATTCTTTTAAGATAAGTAGATGTGGTCCAACATATAATGCTGGCAAAGTTGAGGGAGGGGCTCACCTTAATGTCATCGAGATCCATTTTCTAGGAGAAATAATTTATTTATTTATTTATTTATTTGGTTTAACTCAATTCGATGAGCTCCACGTTTTATCTTAGCCCCATCATTAATAAAGAAAACAAAAAAGTTTTATGAATTTTTTTTTTTCAAAGCCAATATTCTGATATTTCAAGGAAAAGGGGATCATAACATGTGATGGAGCAGAGGTAAGATAATCAGACTGTACTAACTAAATCACTCAATCAAACGCTGCTCTATTATGATAAGTTTCAAATTTGTTTAACAATAAACAGTCAGAAAATTAGATTGTAAAACGATATTTTGCTTTTAATTATAAGTATTGCCATTATCTCTCTCTATCAAACCATTCTGCAAAAAGTAATTTCCAACTCAATACTTGAAAAAAGGTGAGAACACAAAGTGCAATCACAGAATTAATGGCGGCCATGTGAGAAAGATTGAACACAATCCCGGCCTTTGTGATAAGGAAAGAGAACTAATCTTAGCCATTAGGAATCTCCCATTACTCTTTAACGTGTGAACACATTCAAATATGACTTCAATTCATTAGAGGACCATCATATTGTTTTCATGAATCTGCACTTCAAATCATCGAGTTGATTTGAATAAGATCATTTTTATTTTATTGGTGGGTTCTGAAATTTTCAATTTGTACATCGTCTAAAGAATTTGTAGTATCAGTGCGAAACGAATCTTTTAAATTCTCACTTAACGAAGTCCCAAAAATTTAGGGGAACCACAAAAGTGGCAAGGTCTGTAATTAAAATTAGAAGAACGCCTTCTATTTAGATCTTAATTGTATCGAAAACAAGCTTATTAGGTGACAATAATAAACATAATGACGGATAAAGTATATCTACCTCATGAATTTAGCACTACTTAGTATAACACAATTTGAGTTTGTGATTGAACCAGTAAATAGCTTACACGTAGGACGATTTCACTAGCATGATTACTTATTGTTGTTGTTATTATTATTATTATTTGATAAGAGCATGATTGTTTATTATATGTAGTAATCTTGATAAATAACTTTTAAAATATATGAATTAAAATTTTTATTTTTATTTTTTATTTATAATTTTTTTATTTAAATAATTATACTAATAAAAATATGTTTATTAAAAATAAAGAATAAAAGTATAAGACTCATACTTTATAAATTCTCCATGTTTTTTTTTTCCTTATACATACATAGAAAAACGTCTCTAGCTAGTAGCTACTAAGTGGAAGGGACAAAACTCTCTCTTCCTTTTTAACTAAAAGTTGAACCAAAATAGTAAATAAATTGGAGAAAAGATATTATTAGTTGCACAACGACCGTGACTGGCAAGAAATTGTTGCTCCATTTGATAAAAATTATTTGTGCGTTTTGAACTCGTTTTAAAATGATTTTATTTTTTATATAAAAATAAAAATGAAAATATTTTCAATCTCAAACATAAATTATTTTTGAAAATGCGTTTGGTAATTTTTTCAAAAGATCGTTTTTAGTATAAAAAAATTCATTAATATATCTCTCTCTTTCTCTCGAGAGAGGAGAAAACAGAAACAAAAAATGAAAAATGACTAAAAGTCATTTTTCATTTCTCTCTCATTTTACACTAAATCAAAAAATCATTTTCATTTTTGTTTTTTATCTTTAATTGTGATAAACACCGTTTCTCTT